ACCAAAGCAGATCCAGGAAAGGGCACAGAGGTCCGGGCCCCCAGGGCGCACCCCCTCCAGGTCCAGAGGCCCCGAGCCCCAGCAGGCAGTCACCAGGCCAGGCTGGCACATACTCATGCGCCCAGCCCCAGACCGCGGGAACCCCCAGCACGCCGGTGGCTAGCCGCACACTCCATCGGGGGGCCGAGTAGCAGCGGGCCCCCAGATAAACCAGCAGTAGGGGCAGYCCAGACCGCAGCCTGACAAATACCCAAACATACACAATCGCACCATCCCACCCTCATTCTCACCCCCGCTCAAAGACATACAAGGATGCTAACGTTAAAGCTAACAGGCGAAGCTGAGGTTCTTCTTCCATGAAACAGCTCTGTTGTCCTCCATCCATATTTTCAGTTGTAGACTGAATCATCAGATATTGTCAAATAGCTCGCTCACGCCGAGGACCTATCCACGTCATCATTTACCCAGAATGCTTTGCGTGTAAACTTTTAGTTTAAAAATTATAAAAACTAAACATCCTACAGTATTTTTACAGTCTTTATTGTACAGTTAAAATATATGTTTCTTAAATAAAGTCTAATGTTACAACTAATCAGGGATCCCTTTAAACCAATCTTTCAGAAGTCTTAAAAAGGTTAACTCATTGTAAATAGGATGATTGTAATTCATCTCAAATATTAAAATAACTGGTAAATTTTTTTTTAAATATTCACATGCAGACATTCCCCTTTGACTTCCTGTTAATTCACATGCAAACTGTCCATCTGAGCAATGTGAAATTTGTTTTGTAATATGTTAATAATGTTGTTATTCCAAAAATGCATCCACCTTTTTTTTTTACAAAACCTTGATGTCACAGGCACTTTAAGGTTTCATCTACAGCAAATTGGGGTTAAGACCCCACTGTGGGTCCTAAATCTCCAAATTTTGGGTTGTTAGAGGATTTCCAGGAATTAAATTAAGTTTAAAACTGACTAAGAATGTTTCTGCTATAGTTAGAAATGGATAAAAACAATTGGTCTATTAGCAATATATGAACACTTCAACCAAAAATACTTTGATTCATGAGTTTCTGCCATAGTTTTTATTTTGTCATTTGTGTTTATTGTGAAATTGGTTATAAATTTAGTTTCACTTGGCATCAAAAGGTCTTAAATTGAACTTGGCTTAAACTGCAGGAACCCTGATTCTGGTCTGCTTTGCTGGATCTGACGCTTTGTTTTCAGTCAGGGTACAATGGAATCTCAAGACTATCAAGGCATTCTGCAGTAAAATGTGCTGCTCAGTGTCATAAAGCTTGTTCTCAGCCACATGTGTCTTCATCTGTAAATAGTAGGGCTGCAACGATTAGTCAACATAATCGAAGCCATCGATTATGAAAATCCGTTGACGCGGAATTTTAACGTCGACACGTCATATTATTTACACACGTAAATGTTCATTTGTAACCGCTATGCAATTCATGAACTGCTGGGGGCAGAATCGTTTCTATTGTCTGCGGTTGAACATGGTGTGCTGCTCTGCAAACCACAGAAGAAGCCGCGGGCTAATCAAAGAGCGATAATAATGCCAGAACAGAAAGTCGATCGTGTCAAAGAGGGAAAGAAACGAGACAAACTTTCCAAAGTTGACTACATTTGATCAAAAATCAACCACAGAATGTAAAATGCAGGCTCAATTAATCCACGGCAGGACAGCGCAGTGAAAACATGATCACAGCATGAGATGCTAACATACAGCCGTCCTCTGATGATAAGTTTCATAAAGTTAGCTTGTTTGTCAGGTTGAAGCGTCATAGATCTTATTTTCAGTGACAGATCACTTTGTGCTGAAGACAACTGTTTAAGTTCTGTTAGTTTACCATCAGAAAACAGTGTTTGTTGGAAGCAGAGCTATCAGATATGCTAATGTTACTAATAAGTAGGGGTGCACCGATTGCAGTTTTCTTGCCGATAGCCAATTTCCGATCTTTAAAAAGTCTGACCTGCCGATTCCGATTTTGTCCGATACCAATTTACAACCAACACAGTCCGGTGTTATAAGGTCACAATACAGTATGTCTTCAATGTTCCAATCTTATTTTATTGAAAAATATTGAACAATACCCTTGAAACAATACAAACTGGGTCCTGGTTCCTGTCAATGGGAACCTCAGATAAGTAGTTCTGTACCTGCATGGCTGAAGGGCTGGCCAGCTGTTGCTCCTTATCTATGTTCTCCTGCAGGATTTCATTGTGTACTGCAAACAGTAGACTGAACCTTTTGGCTGCAGGGTCATCTGTGTCAGGAGGTCCAAGTTCAGCTGATGATCCTCCAACAGGTTCTTCATCCACAGGTGTGCATCTGGTCTCCCTCTCTGCAAGTTTGACCAAAAGGAGCTGTTTCACCTCATCTCTCACCTGTGCTGAGAAGTAGCGATTCTTGTACCTTGTTTTGCATAAAGAAAGAAAAATGTGTCAATCACTATGTTTTTTAATAATAAATAATAAATGTATAATAAATAAAGTTGTATCGAGGGGGTGTTAAGGTCAAGTGAGGGGTTGGTTAACTGTCCTTCACATCATTTTCTGTAAAATAATGAAAACATAAATGGATCAGTTTTACTGTAATAATGAGATGCATTCATACATCAATAATGTGTGTATTTCAAACTCACCTGACGTTCAAATTGTTTGTCAATCCGCTGCGCTGTGAGACTCAACATGGACATTAAACTTACTTCAGAAGTCCAGATGTCTGTTGTAAAGCTGAGCTGTTTAGCATCGGCTAGCAGGCTGCGCATGTGTTTCAAAATTTGGTCAAACAACTCCGGTAACGCAACGTCAGAAAAGTATCTTCGACTCGGCAGATTATATCGTGAGTTCAAGTGCTGCATCTGAAACCTTGATCCTCCACGACTGAAAACGTTCAGAAGAGCTAACATCGGGCCTGYTGGCTCTGTGCTTCTGCTAGCTTTAGCTTTAGCCTTAGCTTGAGTGTGTTCGTCAAACGCTGCATACTCAGCGGCGTTGTGGCTCCTTAAATGGCGAACGAGGTTTGTAGTATTGAAGGATCTGATTTTGTCTCCACCACGACAAACTTCATTCAGTCTTACATATACTGCAAATACAGTGGGGAGAACAAGTATTTGATACGCTGTTGATTTTTCAGGTTTTCCCACTTGCAAAGCTTGTAGAAGACTGTAATTTTTATCATAGGTACTCTTCAACTGTGAGTGATGGAATCTAAAACAAAAATCCAGA